AAGTCAGAAAATTAGAAGTTTCTATTATTTTGCAAAAAAAATTATTATTAGCTCAAAAAATTGTAAAAAATTTGCATAAAGTGCTAAGTACAATTTTACTATTAATGAAATGCATAATTAGTTTAAGTATCAAGTTATATATTAAATTCATAAGTCTTATCTAAAATTTATTTAGTATATCTCTTTAATAATATACTGATTCTGAAGTACATTAATTTGACATTACATTTATATTTTATAATAAAATAAGTAATCAAATTTACAAATATAAAGATATTATCAAAGATATTATAATTAGATATCAATGTAGTTTTATATTGACAGATAAATTTTTAACATATATAATTAAAAAATAATGATTCTAATGTTTCTCTTTTTTAGTCTAATTGTTTTATTTTAAATAAGAAAATAAAATATATAGGTAATTGTAAAAAATTATTATTTAGTTATGTTATTAAAATACAATATGTTAAATCTAAGAAAAATAATATTATAGCTAAGAATATTACTAAAAATTTAAAAAGTATATTTTATTTGATAAAATGCTAAAATTTTACTATTATCTTTATCTAAAAAATCTAGATCATAATTAAGAATTTTTATATAGATGATGATATATTTAATAATACTTTAATTTAATAAATAAACATATTTTTTAATAAGATTATAGAAAAAGCACTAAATAAAAAGAAGATATTTACAAATTTGCTATTAAATATAAAAGCCCTATTGAATATAATAAAGTTCAGTTAAATTATTATGATTTAGAAAAATATTTATATTTCAAAAATAATAATAAATATTTTTTCTATACTTATATAATTCTAATAAAATTTATAATAAATCTTATATATATTTTAAAAAATATTATTTTATTAAAAGACTTAGAATATGTATTTTATATTTTATTTATAATAAGCTATTGGTTTAATTTTCAGATAATGTTAATTATATATTAAAGAATATTATGTAGTCTAATATTATTAGAGACTTTAAGAAAATTTTTTTGTCTTAATATTTTTATAAAGAATCATTCTAAATAAATTTATAATGATATATAATATAAATGATCTAGAGAATATGAACTTATTATATAGGATTTTTCATATATCTGAATTTTTAAAAAAAAATTTATTTTAGTATTTTTATGAAGAATCACTTTTAGAATTAATTTTAAAATATTGATATGCAATTTAAAGTTGTAAATCTGTATTAAGAATATTACAAATATTTTATATTTTTTATATTTTCAATATTTTTTAATGGTAATCATTATAATACTAGAAAAATGGAGACTGTTTTTAAGTCTAGAATTTTATTTAGACTTTTGTGTAATTATAAAAGCCAATCAATATTAACTTAATTATTGAATAGGTAGATAATAGAAACTTTTATATAATCTTAAACCTATATATATATAGTCTTTCACTTCATTCTGGACTAATAAATTTTATATATTAGAAGAGATTAAAAATGGGCTTTAAAGACTATATAAATAGTATATTTTTTGATAATTGAAAATTAAAAAAAATAATAGATAATATATCAAATATTATATTTTTAGATTTTTGTTACAAAAGTTTTTTTTTATTCTATTATATTAGATATTACATTTCTTAATAAAATATTAAATAATAATTTTTTAATAATATAATAATTATATAAAAATATAGTTTAATATATATTTAAATAACTTTATCAAAAGAAATTTTAAATTTATTAAGAAGTTTTTTAAATAATTTAATTTTAAATTAAGTTTTAAAAATTTTATTATAATAATTTTTAAAATTTCTTAAAAATTTATTTGTTTGTGAACTGTTTAAATATCTTTACTATTAAAAATTAAAAATTTCTTAATAAATCATAAAATTATAATATTTTATAATATATTTTATAATATTCTATTATGATAATATTGCTAAAAGTAAATTTTAATAACAATAAGTTTATTAAAGGTTAATAATAAAATTTTAATATAAAAATTTTAAAAATTACAATATAAGTAAAAAATAAAAATTTTTAAAAATTTATAAAAATAAATTAAAAGAAAATTTATAATAAATAAATAAGCAGAATTTACTTGCAAATTTTTACAATTTAAAGAAATAATATATAAAAAAAAATTATATTTTTTTCTTTTTTAAATATATCTAATATTTTTTTTAAAAAAAATATATATAAAAATAATATATTAACAATGAAAACTTTAAATTATATATGAAAATATTTATATATTAATAAAAAATATTATATTTTTATGTCAATATATAAACTGTTATATATTTAGTATACTAAATATATTTAATTTACTTTACAAACTAAATATGTTTAAATTGTGTTAAAATTTAAACATATTTAATAAATAAAGATAATTAAGATAAAAATTTAATTATTATTATATAAATAAATATATATATATATATACTGTATATAATGAAATTTTTATAAAGAATCTAATTTAAATATATAAATATTATTATAAATGAAAAAAAAACAAGATAATAATAAGAATATAATATTATATCTAACAGCTTATTTCTGATTTAAGCTTTTTTTTTAATATATATAAATATTTCACCTATTCTATAATTTATATTTTTAATTTAATTTATTTTACAAATTCATATTTATTATATAAAATGGAATTCTAATTATATATCAATATATATTTAAAGTAATAAATAGGATTTTGAAAGATTTTATAAAAACTTATAAATCAATTATTAAAAAAAATCATTTAAAATAGATTATGGTATTTGAAAAGGATTTTATAAATTTTTTCAATAATAATAAAAAGAATTTATAAAAATATTATAGAAGTATATTTGTATTAATCAATTCTATAAAAACATATAAAATTAATAAAATTAAAGATAAATATATATTTTATAGATGATTTAGATACTATTAAATAAGAAAAAATTTGTTAAATAATTATTTAAAGTTTAAAAGATCATATTTTACTATTAATGAATTAGACTTGATATATCTAACTTAAAGTTGCTAAAGACTTTGTAAGTCATCTAAATGATAAAAGGTAAATTTAACCAAATTATATTTAAAATCTTGTTAAAAATTCAAAAAAGATAAAACTATATAAAAATGTTAAAATTGTATTAAAAAATTATGAAAACTAAAGATTTAAACATTTTGCTAAATTCAAAATAGATTTGAATAAGTAATCTTAGTTGGAATTTAATTATATTTAAATAGATTGTATGAAAATCGATTTAATAATGCTGATGATAAGGTTTACTTTCTTTTAAATGGGATAAAACTTTGAATTTAATGAGCGAACCATTCATCTTACTAATGATGACTTAGAAAAATAGTTATTTTAATCATTTTAGAATTACTAACCTTTGTAAGCGATATTGAAATTTTATTGCAAAATGCAGGTCATAAAGTCATAAGTTCATAAATTTCATATAATTAATAACCTAATGACTTATGCAGATCATGTACGTCATAAAATGTCATGTGATGAGGACATGAAAAATTGACTAGTAGCATCGTAAAAAGAAATCATCGATAGCGGAATAACGACATCAGTGTTCAACTCGGATACGGGTTACGGGGAAAATTGTTGTCTGGCTTGTATCCAATTAGAGTTAGGATATATCAGAAACGTAATAACAGAAATGAGCAGAAGACATAATGAACCTCTTACACAACCGTAAGGATAAGTTGATCTGTTCCCTCGCTAGCGATCTTTTCTTCATCAAAGGTAGAAAGGCGAAAACCACTTTTCATTTAATTTATTATCTGACATGTAATATAATTTTGCATTAGAAGAATGAAAACCTTCTTTGTAAAAATTTTGTCTTTGATGAGATATCAAGATAACACGATTAATCAAGTACGATTATCATAACCAATAAAACGGCAAGATCAAAAAAAAAAGTGGGTTTTTCTTTTTTCTTTTTTTTTTCCTCTCTTTTTTTTTCTTTTTGTGTTATTCCAAAAATGTTAAGATTAAATAATAGAATAATTTCTTTATTACTACCAACTTTTCAAACAACAGGAGTGGCTACAGCAGTTTTGAAGAGTTCACCATTTCGAATATCTTCAGCAAAAGTATCCAATTCACTAAAGAATTCTACAAAACTATTTTCATTAAAAGGCAATAACATCATATTAACATCTCCATATCAATACCCTTTTTATAACGTGGAAAAAGTTGTCACAAGACAACAATCGATATTAAAACTTTTTATGAATTCTCGTAATTCATTTCGTAATTCATTTTCCACCTTACAACCACCAAAAGATCATAATTCCTTACATTGTACAAAGAATTCTCACTTAAGGAACAATTCAACGGCATCACTTTCTTCGACGTCATCGTCAACAAAAAATCCTTCCCCCGAAGCAGCTTCTTCTGAAGAAATTAGCGTAGAAGAAGGAAGAAGTGTAACAGAAAAATTTAAAATATTAACAAAGAAATATGGTGTGTCAGCCATAGCAGTTTATTTAATAATTTCAGCAGTAGATTTAGGGTTAACGTTTATTTTAATACAAATCGGTGGGGCTGAACGTGTCAAAAAAATCGAGGATTGGTTTGCAAAAACTTTTGGTGATTGGATTGTCTTGCGAAAAAATTCCCCTGAAAAGGAGAAAGATGGTCAACAAGACATCGTTGTTACCACTGATGATGAATTCGTTATTGTTAATGTTGAAAATAAATTAAAAAATACACCATCATGGGCTAGTACTTTAGTTATCGCTTATGGCATACATAAACTTTTGGTTCCACTTAGATTGGGTTTAACCGCTGCTATTACTCCTGCTCTGGTTAGAAAATTAAAAAGAATGGGTTGGAATATCGGGGGTAAACATTTGTAAAACTCTCAACAAGAGGGAAAGGAAGGCGCATAGATTTTTTTTAAAATATATAATTAATAATAAAAGGATTTGCGAAAAAAAAAAATATTTTTTTTTTCGATTTTGATTTTTTAATCATAAATAATTTTATTATTTAACTGAACCATTCTTGCTAATCATCCATTCATATCCATAAATCCTACCAAAAAATCATTCATATGCCTCTTACTGAGAGGTAAACAACTCGTACTCTTCCTCAACAACAACAATAATTCTAAACAAATATCATCTTGATACATAAAATGTTCTACTGTCTTATCCTTTTGCCATTGTTCCATTAACCTTAATAAAATGTTATAAATTAATGATTTATTATAGTGACGTCTTAATATAAGAGAATTCAATTATACCTTGTAGACGTGACATCTTGTTCAATAGTTGTACAATCAACATATAATATCTTCATAACTATAACCAAAAAAAAAATTTATTTATATTATTTTACGTATAAATTCAATTCATATATAAAATAATTTACCATCACATATCTTCAAATTACTTTCAATGATACTACAATCTTCTTCAACATTTTTTGAAAATGGGTGAAAGGGGTTGCTTCCTTCCAAAGCATTCATCATAATTTTCGAATCCCATCCGAATAGCCAAATCTACGTTTTTCAAAGAAAAAAAAGGGAGAAATTCTTTTATATCATTGAACAATGTAAAAACATCTTTTTTTTTTTTTTTTAAAAAAAAAAAAAAGAATACCAGAATATAAGGTTTTTTGAACCTTTTCCCTTTAATAATAAACTTATAAGTTGCATGGGCTTTTGCCGCTTCAAGAAAATCCGCTGCAAAAAACGCTGTAAATTTGTATTTTCGTATAATTGACCTATGACAGAGATTTTGATTAGTTGCACGTTACCTCCTAATAAACCTATCACCTCACCAAAATTGTAAATGACACCTACTCTTTATCATCAACATCCTCACCACCTTTTAATTCAATTAAGGTCATATATTTACTAAATCTAACGGCTAGTAAAATCAATCCTTCGTTAGATTTACAATATAAGCCTTCTCCGATGGAAGCCAAGCATCTTGAGCAATTCATTGAGATCCACTTCTTTGACATTCCTTTTGCCCACTACATAAGATAATTTTTAGTTAGAGAATGTACGCTCATGTAATAACATGCAAAACAATTTTAGTTGATGAACACGTTGAATAAATGAGCATGATTTTAATTTAGGACTCGTAGTATCGACCAAATTATCAGAATTTCAAGATATTAGCCTTCTTTAAGTCCATTATAACCTTTATTATAGCATATTTATGAAATCACGCATAAAAATCTCCTCGACTAAAAATTTAGGTAAACATAACTTACATCGATTTCCTGTGATTCCTCATCATCAACTCTCAGAACGTTTTCTCTCAGGTTATTAGGATGCATTAAAAAATAGGTATTACCAACCAATCCAACATTTTCTTTGGCAACAATATCCCCGATTTTGGCATGTTTGTAATTTTCTTGATGACACATCCAACAATCCATTAATTCTAACCAATGTTCTGATGGCATATCCAATATCTTATTTAACGTATTCTCTTTAATGCATCGTTCTTTACACATCCCACATAATATATTCTTGAGTGAAGAGATTTCCGTTGAACTAAAGGGTGATTGATAAGTTTCGCTCGTACTAATGTCTCTTTTCGCAGGTCTTTTACGTACAAACGTACGTACTTTAAGCTTTATATCTATGCCCTCTTCAGAATTTGTTATTATCGGTTGTTCTGATGTTTCGATTGTTTGTACTAATGGTACTTCGATTTTTGTGGGTAAGGTTGCTTTATTTGATGGTGACTCGAAAATTAATTTTAACGGATATAATCCGAATTTATATGTAGCCTCTTCTTGTTTGTTTGGTAAACCAACGCTAACATTCATAGACTTTACATTTGGCAAGATTTCAGCAAAAATTGATAATTCATTTTGATTTTGATTTTGATTTTCCATGGATATTATCGTTATATATAAAAAAAAAAAAAAAGTGAAATTACTGTGATAATCTATTGGATAGACAAATCAAATCAATCGAATAAATTACTATAAAGATAAATCTACAATAGAAACTCTTTCATCTTTCATCTAATAACATTAATAAAATGAAATTATCAAGAAATATAATAACGTGTTTCCCAAAAATGAGTAGATTAAATACAAAAAATTTTTCACCATGTTATAACAAATTGTATTCTTCACTACAACATACGAAGGATTCGAATTCATCATATCAAGGTACATATTAAAAATATATATATATATATATTTTTTTTGCTTATCACAAATAATTCCATAGAAACCATTTTCAGTAGCGAATACAACTACTTTAGCAACAACAACAACAACAACAACGACGACGACTACTCCGACACCTCAACTTCATCCAAACATAAATCACGATAAAACACTTACCATAGAAGGTATACCCTACGAATTAGACGAACAGACAAACGTAACGCCCACAGTCCTTTCAAAGCTTTTCCGTAAACTTCACTTACAACCACATCACCCTCTTTTCATCCTGCGTAAGCAAATCGAAAGTTATTTCCCTCATTTTTCCTATTTCAACACATTCAATCCTATCGTAACAGTCCAACAGAATTTTGATGATTTAGGATTTCCAAAGGATCATCCCGGAAGAAATAAAACCGATAGTTATTACATTAATAAACAAATCATGTTAAGGACACACACTTCGGCTCATCAATTAGAAGTTTTCAGGAAGGGAAATAATAAGTTTTTGATTAGTGCTGACGTTTATAGAAGGGATGAAATTGATTCTTCTCATTATCCCATCTTTCATCAAATGGAAGGCGCTCAAATTTTTAATATGAACAATGCGGAACAAGAAACTTTGGATGATATAAGATATGTAACTTTACTAGATTCAACTTTAAGTGTAAGAGAAGAAGTTTATGATGATACAAGAATTTCTGAAAGTAATCCCACACAATCATGTCACCCGTTGGAGCAAGTTGATCTTATTATACGACATTTAAAATTCTCTTTAAATTCTTTAGTAAAAAAATTATTTATGCATCATGATAAAAATTTAAAAATTAGGTGGATTGATGGGTATTTTCCGTTTACTAGTCCAAGTTGGGAAATGGAAATTTTTTTTAAAGGCAAATGGTTAGAAATTTGTGGTTGTGGTGTAATTAAACAAAACATTTTAAATAATGCTGGTATGTAAATTGCCCGAGATCTTTTTCCTTAAAAAAAAAAAAAAAATGTTAACTTTTTACATAAACAGGTCAAAATGATAAGATTGGCTGGGCATTTGGATTAGGATTGGAACGTATAGCGATGGTATTATTTGATATACCTGATATAAGATTATTTTGGTCACAAGATAAAAGGTTTTTGGATCAATTTAATAATTTTAATCATAATGAAATTATAAAATTTCAACCTTTTTCAAAATTTCCTTCTTGTATAAAAGATATGAGTTTTTGGTTAGATAAGAATCAAGATTTTCATGAAAATAATTTTTGTGAAATAATAAGAAATGTTGCTGAAGATTTAGTTGAAGATGTTAAACTGGTATATTATATCACAGAGTTTATTGTTTTTAATTTTTTTTTTTTTTTATTTAAAAAAAAAAAAAAACTTTTTTTTTTTTAGGTTGATGAATTTGTTCATCCAAAAACGAAAAAAAAAAGTTTATGTTATAGAATTAATTATAGATCTATGGATAGGTAAGGCAAGATTTTTTATTATTAAACTTTGTTTCTATATGTACATAAACTAAATTAATGTTATTTGTTTTGTTAGAAGTGTTACAAATGAAGAAATTAACAAGATACAAGAAAAAGTTAGAATAGATGTTGAAGCAAAATTGAATGTTACTTTGCGATAATTAGACAAATATATATATCTCTCTTCAATTTTAAGATGGGACTGCTCCTTTCAACCCTAAGACATCTTTCATATTTTTAAAATGTGTTTAAAAAAAAATTGGAAAACTGTTTATACTAAAATCATGATAATGTATTATATTAGCGTTTAATTTAAAAAATTTAAAATAAATAATTAGAACACAACACATTATAAAGATTTACCATGTCTTAATACCATCATACTAATAAATTTCTCCCGTTCATCAATTGTATTTTCATATTGTTTCAATTTTTCATCTTTAACAGATTCATTCAAATTATTGTACACCTTTGTAATGGCCAATAGTTGATCAGATATGAACCTTAGCGTATCCGGCAAGGGAGAAACTATAAATAGTAATAATAATATTATTTTTTGCAATCAATTGAATGGAACAATACCCTTCGCTTTATAATAATACCATTATGAGCTTTCGCTTCAGTTCGTAGAAATGATATTTTATTTTCTAATCGTTTCAGTTTTTCAATTCGTGCTTCATCTATAGCCAATTGTTTTTTTAGCTTGAGGTTAAAGGCTTTTGCCTGCAAAATTACATTTTAAATATTTTAAATACAATCACAATAAACCTTTTTGACAATATTAAATTAAGATGATTATTTACAGCCATGATTTTTTTCCGTAATAATTCAATTTCTTTATCAACTCCCTCATTCATACTTTCATCTACATCAAAATTCACACCCTATGTAAGATCTCTTGTCGTTAGAAATATTTTTTTTTTTTTAAAAAAAAAAAAAAGTATCAAGGAAAATAAATAAATAAATATAATATAATATATAGAAATACCTCATTATGCTTTAATACGACTGTAACATTTTCGCGTATGGTGAAAATCTTGTGTAACGCGTATATTTCAAATTGTTCAAAATATTTATCAACCAAATTTTCCAACAACGTTTCAACTTGGTGAGTACCCTACAAAAATAATCAATCACAAAAGGTATTTTGAAAGGTTCGATTTAAATTACAAACGTACCTGTTCAACTTCTTCCTTATTTTTCAATTCAGCGTTGACAAAACTTTCAATTCCGGCAATTATTAAATAAATTAATTCGTTAATAGAATTAATTATATCATCTACAAAACTTATTGGTAAAAAACCAAAATGTTCTGTTATGATTTCATTTTTTATCGCAATATCATTTAAACATGTTATTTGACTATGCTGTTGTCGCTTTTCTTGTTTAGGCATTTGAGATTGTTGGTATGTGTCGAAGAAAAAGGAAAATAATAAAGTGAATATGCGATGTTCGCTCTTTTTTTTAAAATTTTTTTTTTTAAAAATAAAACGCGAATTATTAATGATCATGTGATCTAAGTTTCTTACCATTTTTGGGGGGATCTGTACCCCCGGTGTAGTTAACATTTTAGGAGGTGGGGATGTCTTATAGTTACACTTAGAAATATATATCACGTGATTGATGTGGCTTAGTTTTTTAGAATCAAAAATTTATTTAATGACCGAAATTTAAATAACCAATGATTAAATCAAAAATTTCTATTGAACAGCTGACAAAATTCAACCAATTTACTCTCCATTTGAATTATATTTTTTTAAATCAATTTCTTTAACAGATCATTATAAGGGTAGAAGGAAATAGTCATCAAGTTGATTCTTAGATTGTATCTTAGATCGTTTTCAAGTAGTAGAGTATGCCATTCTTTATACTTGTTAAAAAATAAAAGTAAGAAGTATTTTTCACAGATAGAATAACAAAGGTGTGAGTATGTTTCTTTAAGAGAAAGATAATGTTCATCATAGCCTGAAATTTTCAAAATATCATAATATTAAAACATATGAATTGGATTTGTAAAATGTCTATCTTTACCTTTGATAAGAAACCATTGTGAATTTTGAGAAAATTCATTGTTTCTTTAGCTCTAGGTGGATTATAACAATTTGTATTTTATATCATTTTATATTAATGGAATATATACACAGATTGCAATGATTCTTAATTCAAGTTTATAGAATAAAACACTTAGGTATATCATTCTTTTTTTTATATTTTTTGTTTCTGTTTTTCTTGCTTTTTTAATTCATCAACTTTTTCTTTTTCTGTATTCTCAAAATATATATTTTCAAATGGATTTGT